ACTGGAATTTTTCTGCATGGGACACTTGACCTTTCTTCCACATTTGTTTATTTATTTACTTATTCATTTATTTATATCAGTACAGATATTTGTTTTGTACTTTGGGTGGTAATAAGATACTACCTATGTTCTTGCTCAAATTATTCTAGCTTTGGCTATTAGACACTCTTTCAGTTGGCTATTGTGTCCCTTTGACACATTCCTGTCATTGTTTTTTGTTTGTGTCTTTCTTTGTTTTTAGCACTTACTTTCTGATGATCCATGGTGTTCTTTTATATTTGTTTCTTCAGGCCTAGAATCATCCATTGTTCTAGGGGGCCCTGGTTACTTTCATTGGAAAATGGTATGACAAACTAAGATCTGGTCTAAAAATCTCCTGTGCTTCATCTATTTATTCATCTCTCTCTTCCTCTCCTTGAAAGCCTGGTGACCACTGATCTTTTTACTTCTCTATATTTTGTCCATTACACAATGTCATATAATTGGAATCACAGAGTATATAGCCTTTTCATATTGACTTCTTTTATTTGCCAATATGCATTTAAATTTCTTCTCTATCTTCTAGTGGTATGATGGCCCATTTCTTTTTATTGTGAAATAATATTCTATTGTGTGGATGTAACACAAATTTTCATCCATTCAGATAGAGAAGGGCATTTGGTTGCTTCTGGCTTGGGGCAATTATGAATAATGCTCCTTATAAACATCCATGCGCAAATTTTTGAGTGGACATATATTTCAACTGAACTGGTAAATATTTAGGAGTGTGATTACTGGGTTGTGTGGTAAGACTATGTTTAGCTCTCTAAGAAACTGCAAACTGTGTTCCAAAGTGGCTGCACCATCAGGCATTCTCACCAGCAATGATGGAGAGTTCCAGGTCCTTTGGGTAAACACCAAGAAGAATGATTGCTGTCATTTTAAAAAATATTTTGCTTTTCTAACTGGCGTGTAGTGGCACCTCACTGCTGTTTTTTCTTTTGTAGTTCCCTAATGACAAATGTTGAGCATATTTTCATATGCTTATTTGCCATCTGTATCCTTCCTTGGTGAGATATGTTTTCAGATCTTTTGCCCATTTTTCAGTTCAGTTGTTTGTTTTCTTAATGTAAAGATTCAAGAATTCATTTTATATTTTAGATACAAATCACAAGCCATTTAAATGTTTTGTTATTTTAATTTAATACAAAAATCTATGTTTATATTTGAAAATACTTAGCCCCATGTTATGCTATGGTTAATGAACATTAGTAATGAACAGATAATAAAGAAGGGTAGAACATTAGAAATTCACCTAATTTTGTTTTGGGTATGCATTGCAATGATATTTGGATATAGGTGAGTTATATTCTCACGCTTTTCATAATCTGCAAAAAATATGAAGCTGCAATAATAGTGGACATAGCACCATAGAATAATGAAGAAGTTCTGTATTTTTACTTTCTTTTCCCATTCAAAAGCTTGTTAGTTTAAAGTCTGTGTTGAAAATTTGCTCATCACCTCTTCAAGGAATATAAAATACCAGCTCCAAAGTAACAATTTTTCTTATCTAAACTCACTATCTTTCCAGTTCATACCTACACTGGACCTAGAGAGACGGTAAAGGATTCATATTCAATAGCAAATTTCTCACATAATGCCAGAAATCTTTATAGATAGTAAAAGATAGCATAAAGGGACTGAAGAAGCATTGGAAAAAATTGCTTGATTTGTTTTCATTTCACCTTGTATCAGATTGCATGTAAAGATAGAATTTGAAAATAATCTATAGTTTACTTTTATACAAGATATAAATAAACTTCATAAGTAAAGTAGGAGCATTTAATTATTATTTTCTCATAACCTAACTCTTATTTCTCCCAAAGGAAGAATTACTTATGGAAAATACTCCAATGTTCAGTCATTTCCAGTTTTATAAGTGTAAAATTTTTGTTGTCTCCATTATATACTTTTTACATATATAAAAGACACTGAAGTTCTGATTGTATACCTATTTTACAATAATGGCTATGATTATTGGTAATTATAATGCAATTAATTAGAGTTGTGTTTATAAATATGGTTAAACATTGCACTTTTTGAACTAAATATAGATAGGTGTTTACTTTTATATATTTTTAAAAAATCATTGATTATGATTGTGAAAGTAAGATCAGTCAGTATTTTTAAATATGTAAGAAAAATCATGTCAAAGGTCTTTACTTAATATATTGTTAATATTTATCATTTTTAATGGAGTTCCCCTTTGTATTTTAATTAATCTTCTTGCAATATTTAGTGTCTGTGTGTGCGTGTGTGTGTATGACATTTGTAGAAATCAAATGTTGGCTTTTCAACTGATACAGTATAGAGATTGCTCATTGAGGTCAATATGAGTCCCACAGATTTTAGAAACATATAAGCATATCTATTATTTCTAAAATTTTATTTTTATAAGATGGAGAAAAAAAGATAAAATTCTTATTTGTGTTTCTTGCTTAATTCAAGCAAGGAGTTTGTGAATGATTAGTCCCACTTATTTTCCAAAAGCATGGTGTTTTTTATAGGTGGCCTAATGCAGATGGACAGGTTCTGGAGAATTTTTAAAAAGGATATGTGTTTTTAAAAGTAGGGCATATTCGTTGGAGCACTTTAGATGAAGCCATGTTCTACAATTAAAAAGTATAAAAATATATCTGCATATTGAATCCTTTCTTTTACTTCAGTCTAGTTCATTCAAAAATACATTAAGAAAAATAACAACTTCAAAGGTCAGAATAATATTGAAAACATAAATATTCTCCATTACTACATTTTTTAAAATTTCAGTATTTGTTTCCATTTAAAGTGAATATAAAGATATCATAGTATATTGTGATGAGAGTCACAAATACTGCCTCAAGATGTTACAAATGCATATAGCTATGCACTAAGATTGTGATAGTTTTGCAATGTGCCTAAATTGGATTTTTTCTAAATAAAAGAAACGTAGGGGCACATAGGTGGTGCAGTCAGTTAGGTGTCCAACTCTTGGTTTTGGCTCAGATTGTGATCTCAGGGTCATGAGATGGATCCCCGTGTGGGGCTCCATGCTCAGGGCAGTCTGCTTGAGAGTCTCCCTCCTTCTCCCTCTGCCCCTCCTGCTTGTGCTCTCTCACTCTCTCTAAAATAAATAAATAAATCTAAATAAATAAATAAATAAAACCTAGATATATTTTTATAAGATAAATAGAACTATTTTTTATTTATATTTGCTATTTGAACCTGTGTCTTAAATAAAGTCAGCAAATACAAAAACATGTTTGTGTCATTTAGGAGACTTTTGGGTAGAATTGAGACAAAAATATTCTTAAGTTACTTTTTAAAAATAGAATGTGAGAAAAAACTTTTACACAAAAGAAAATATCAAAGTGGGTGGGTGAACGTCAAGTTCACTTTGCTTAGGATACCAGCTCTGATTCTTTCTTAATCTGTCTTTTCATTGCTGCTAGTTTGTTCTGCTAGCTCTTCCCATATCTGCAGGATGTTTTCTTTCTTTCTTTTTCTCTTTCTTTTTCTCTCTTTCTTTCTTTCTTTCTTTCTCTTTTTTTAAGATTTTATTTATTTATTTGACAGAGAGAGACACAGTGAGAGAGGGAACACAAGCAGGGGGAGTGGGAGAGGGAGAAGCAGGCTTCCCGCCGGCAGGGAGCCCGATGCGGGGCTCGATCCCAGGATCCCAGGATCATGACCTGAGCCAAAGGCAGACGCTTAATGACTGAGCCACCCAGGTGCCCCTGCTGGATGTTTTCTTATTCGTATCTGGTAGAAATATTATTTCCCTACTCTTTAAAAAAAGAACATGTTTCACATTATTGGATATATTTAGGTCCATTGCCCCCTTTGGACATTATATTGTAGGAATGCTCTAAGTCCATGGCTTAGTTTAACCCGTTAATGGAAAACTATGTGAATAGGGGCGGGGAGGCTAATTGGCTTAGGCCATGCAGGGCATACTCTAAGTAGGCGCTGAGGTAGATCTTATCAAAAGCTCCTACCTACCAGTCTGGCAGGGAAAAAAACAGGTGCTAGATACGTATTCAGAAATGTATACCCAATAACAAATACCTTTTTCCTCCTTTTTAAATAATTACTTTCTGTTTTCTCAAATCATAGCTGTATTAATTTGGGTCCTCAAACACCAAGGCCAAAAGAAAGTAAATATTTAATGCGGGAGAATAAATAAAGGTTTACTGCGGGGCAGGGGGATGCCATAAAGGATAAAGATCATGGAGCCAGAGAAGGCTGAGAAAGCCTTCCAGACTGTAATACAGGTCTGGCACATGTGAAAGAAACAGGAAGGAAAGGAAAAAGGATTGAGTTAAAAGAGTCCACCAGGGGCACCTGGGTGGCTCAGTTGGTTAAGCGACTGCCTTCCGCTCAGGTCATGATCCTGGAGTCCCGGGATCGGGATCGAGTCCCGCATCGGGCTCCCTGCTCGGC